TGTGTGCATAAGGGGACGTTTTCACTTTCCACTGACCAGCCATGTAAAGAGCATTCTTCCCACTGACCACCAGAGTAATGGCGCCCATCTACACCGACCACCATCCTCTGCACTCTGCATTGCTCCCTCATGATCCCTGTGCTGCCCTGACAACAATGTATACGGCCCTGCCAGCCATCCGGCTAAGGTGACCCCAGTCAGTTCTGTATGATAGGCTTAGCAGCCTCCTCCTTCCAATGCTGGCAGAAGTGATACAGCGCGCGCCTGAAACTATTTATACGGACTCTTGCTGTATCCAGCTTGTGACAGGTTATGTAATATGTCATAAACAGGAAGGGGCGTGGCAAATTTACACTGGGGGGTGCCCAAGTTTAGTCTTGCCTAGGGCAGCACAAAGCCAAAATACACCATTGGACATCAGATGGGACGGAGATATCATATAACAATATAACTGTATAGACATCGGAAGGGGCGGAGCTATCATATAATAAAATAACTGTATAGACATCGGAGGGGGCAGAGATATCATATAACAATATAACTGTATAGACATCGGAGGGGGCGGAGCTATCATATAATAATATAACTGTATAGACATCGGAGGGGGCGGAGATATCATATAATAATATAACTGTATAGACATCGGAGGGGGCGGATATATCATATAATAATATAGCTGTATAGACATCGGATGGGACGGAGATATCATATAACAATATAACTGTATAGACATCGGAGGGGGCGGAGCTATCATATAATAATATAACTGTATAGACATCGGAGGGGGCGGAGATATCATATAATAATATAACTGTATAGACATCGGAGGGGGCGGAGATATCATATAATAATATAACTGTATAGACATCGGAGGGGGCGGAGATATCATATAATAATATAACTGTATAGACATCGGAGGGGGCGGAGATATCATATAATAATATAACTGTATAGACATCGGAGGGGGCGGAGATATCATATAATAATATAGCTGTATAGACATCGGTGTAATGCCGCCGACTGGGCCGCCTCTCGTGTCTCTGCCACGGCCCCTCTGCGTTCCACCGTGGAACGCAGAAGCCGCACGAACTCCTGGTTGTGACGCGGCAGCTGCGTTCCACGGTGGAACGCGGAAGTCGTTCGGGCCGATGAGCTGTCCCACCCCACTTCCTGGTCCTATTTAAGGCCACGGTTGAGGCAGCATGGCGTTCCGTGATTGAGGTCAGAACGCCTGCTGCCTCACAAACCTGCACCCCATCCTGTTGCCCTCCGGAAGACGGACCTGCACAGTGCTGCTGTAGGAGCCTCCTGCTGGACTTTGCCTCCACCACCTTCTTGACTTAACCGCAAGTACCGCTCCTGTGGGAGAGCACTGCTCATTAGACTGCTTACCTGGTTCATGCATAGACTGTGTACTAAATTGCATTTCGGAATCCACCCTCAAACCAGCACCACCTACTGCATCCTATATCTAAGTTGTACCTATTGGTCACCGACAGGCTATGACGCAATAGTACTGTTCCGGCTTGTGTTGTTTTACGTTTATTTTCATGATGGTAGAATCTCAAGATTGTGAGTGACGCCTGAGATTCATATCCGACTGGTCCTTTCCCTCCGCAGTTGTGATCGAACCCTTGCATTAACCACAGACGTGACATAATCATGGAACCATATAAACATGGATCCAGCGGAGCTTGCTAGACATTTAGTTACATTGTCCCAGAGGGCAGAGACACTGACCACCTCTATGCAGGACTTGCAGGTGGAGAATCAAAGATTGCGCACTTTGGTTACCCAAAATGCAGAAGCTGTACCCCCCAGAGAGGGACCTGAACCCAAGGTCTGTGCCCCCGAACCTTTCTCTGGTGATAGGAAAACTTTACGCCAATTCATAAGTTCATGTAAACTCATGTTTGACCTGCGCCCTCGCACGTATCACACTGACCGCATAAAGGTACTCACACTCATCTTCTACCTTAAAGGGGAACCCCGAGCCTGGGCCGAGACCTACTTAGACGAAGATGATGAGGTCCTAGATTCCTTCCCCAGATTCATGGAGGCCATGGCACTTCTCTATGAGGACCCAAGTAAACAATTAATCGCAGAAACTGCCATAAGAGGACTCAAACAAGGCCGAAGGCCAGTCGATGATTACATTGCGGAATTTAAACAATGGGCTAGGGAGACTGAGTGGAATAACCTCAGTCTCCGCAACCAATTCCGTCTTGGCCTCTCGGAAGCCTTGAAAGACGAGATAGCCCGTGATGACTTACCATTCACCCTAGACGATTTGATCCAACGCTCTGTGACTATCGACCGATGCCTCCATGAAAGGAGAGCCTACGGAGCTGGGAACCATGCGGGGACCTCTCACGCAGACAGAAAAGGCCAGGAGATGCACGCTGAACCTATGCCTTTACTGTGCCTCCCCCGACCACACAGTTGACGACTGTCCAGCCGTTAAAAGGAAGACAGGAGGTAGGATAATGCACATCTGCAAATTGGCACCTAGCCTTTGCCACCGCAATTCTTACATACTGTATACATTTCTCTCATCCTACAATGGGATACCGAGAGGATCATCGCTAAGGCCATGATGGACACTGGGGCCTGTGGCAACTTTATAGACCTGCAATTGGTTAAATCCAATAAAATACCCCACATATTGAAGCAAAAAACAGTCTTGGTTACTTTTATAGATTTTATAGGGTCCACATCCCCCTCAGGCCCAATCAGTTACCACACCCAACCGATGCTGGTAACCTGGGGAGAGGGTCACATTGAATACCTGACGTTTGATGTCATCTCATCTCCCTTGTTCCCTGTGGTGTTGGGCCTTCCCTGGATCAGGCTTCACCAACCTACCCTTCTTTGGCCTAAAGGGGAAGTGCAGTTGAATTCCCACTAATGCACCTCCACTTGTTACCCTACCACTCCACTTATGCAGATCTCCCCAGATGGGCTACCTCCCCATCTTCTTGAATTCAAACATGTTTTCAGCCAATGTGGAGCAGATACACTCCCGCCACATCGACCCTACGACTGCCCTATAGATCTGATTCCGGGCAGTCCTGTTTCCCAACCAGAATTAGCTCATCTGAAGGTCTATTTAGACGAGAACTTAAAAAAGGGATTAATCAGACCGTCTACCTCCCCTGCTAGCGCGGGGATGTTCTTTGTAAAGAACAAAGACGGTGGATTACGGCCAATGATTGACTATCGGGGACTCAACAAGATTACCGTAAAAAAACGCTACCCTCTTCCTCTTATCCCCGAACTGATCGAGAGGTTACAAACATCCCGTATTTACACCAAACTTGACCTCAGAGGCGCGTATAACTTGATCAGGATGCGGGAGGGGGATGAGTGGAAGACAGCCTTTAGGACCCGATACGGGCTGTTTGAGTACACTGTAATACCATTCGGCTTGTGCAACGCCCCCACAACGTTCCAGCATTTCGTTAACAATATTTTCCGAGATCTGCTGGATGTTTGTGTGGTGATTTATTTGGACGACATTTTGGTGTACTCAGACAGTCCCACCGAACACAGGAGGCACCTCAGATGGGTGTTGTCCCATCTTCGGGCCCACTCCCTATACACTAAACTAGAAAAATGCGTATTCGAACAGCCATCCATTTCCTTCCTGGGGTATAACATCTCCCCCCAAGGGATTCAGATGGATCAATCCAAGGTGGATTGCATCCGGGATTGGCCTGTTCTTCGCACACGCAAAGCACTACAACGATTTCTAGGATTTTCCAACTACTACAGGAAATTCATAAAAAAATTCTCGGCTATCGTAAAACCCCTAACGAGACTAACCAGTTCTAAAATACCTTATACCTGGTCCAACGAGGCACAAGAGGCTTTTGAGATTCTCAAACAGAGGTACACCTCCGCTTCCATACTCCAATTGCCCAACCCTGATTTTCACTATGTTTTAGAGGTTGATGCATCACACCTCGCCATAGGGGCAGTTCTATCACAACAACCATCTCATTCTGAACCACTGCACCCAGTCGCATATTACTCCCAGACTCTCAATACTGCTGAAAAGAACTACCCCATTGGGGAAAAAGAACTGTTAGCTATTAAGGATGCCTTGGGCAATTGGAGGCACCTTTTGGAAGGTGCAAAACACCCCATCATGATTTTCACTGACCATTGCAATTTACAGTTCCTCAAAACTTGTAAAACCATGTCGGCACGGCAAGTATGGTGGAGTCTGGGGTGGGGTGGGGTGGTGCAAAACGAAGGATTCTTTTTCAAGAATGACAAACTCTACGTTCCTCCTAGAATGCAAACTTCCGTCATTCGACTCATGCATGACACACCCCTAGTGGGCCACCCGGGCATCACCAAGACATTAGATCTCGTGAGAAGGACATTCTTGTGGCCAGGCATGACCAAATCTATTCACGAATACGTCACCACATGTGACATCTGTGCCTCCACCAAGACCGATCGGAAACCTCCCTACGGCTTACTTGCGTCATTAGAAATACCCAACAGGCCTTGGGAGGCTGTCTCCGTCGACTTTATAGCCGACCTCCCTCGCTCAGAGGGTTGCAACACTATTATGGTCACTGTTGACCTACTAACCAAAATGGCTCACTTCTCCCCACTCAAGAAACTACCTTCATCAAAAGAAACCGCCCATACCTTCCTAGACATCGGAGGGGGCGGAGATATCATATAATAATATAACTGTATAGACATTGGAGGGGGCGGAGATATCATATAATAATATAATTGTATAGACATCGGAGGGGGCGGAGCTATCATATAATAATATAACTGTATAGACAACGGAGGGGGCGGAATTATAATGTAACTATAACGTATCACCGCCCTGATTATTTATCTCACTGTTCTGATCACATCAATAATGTCTTGGACGGTGTGATCAGCAGATCTCTCCCCTCCCTCCACTTCTTCCTGCTCTGCACATGGAGATATCTCAGGTAACCTACTCTGACTCCCTCCCTCTGACACATCTATTTGGTTTCGTTTCTCTCTCTTGCAGTCAGCGATGGCGTTTTCTGATGCGAGGAAGGAGCTGGACTGTTCCATCTGTCTGAACATTTATACTGATCCCGTAACACTGAAATGTGGACACAACTTCTGCTGCTGTTGTATAGAACGTGTGCTGGACACACAGGGGAGGTCTGGACTTTATTGTTGTCCTCAATGCAGAGAAGAGTTCCAGGAGAGACCTGAACTTCTCAGGAACATCACACTGCGTAATATAGTGAAGAGTTTCCGGCCTACAGAACCAGAGCAGAAGGAGATGGAGATCTTGTGTACGAATTGTATTCACTCTCCTGTACCTGCTGTGAAATCCTGTCTGATGTGTGAAGCTTCTCTGTGTGACAATCACCTGAAAGTCCACAGCAAGTCACCCCAACATGTCTTATGTGACCTCACCAATCCCCAGGAGGGCAGGAAATGCTCCATCCATATGAAGATCCTGGAGTATTACTGCTCCGAGGACTCTGCCTGTCTCTGTGGGTCCTGCAGGCTGCTTGAAGACCATCAGGAACATCAGGTGGAGACCCTGGAGGAGGCCTCTGAGAAGAGGAAGGAGAACCTGACCAATGCTTTGCAGAAATTGGTGAAAGAGAGAGAGGAGATGGAGCAAAGCATCGAGAGTCTGAAGAAGTACAAAAGGAAAGAACAAGACAGTGCAGCCGGTGTAACCAAGAGAGTCACCACCCTGGTCAGAGACATCAAGAGGCAACTGGACACCATGGAGAGGAAAATTCTGAATAAGATCTCCAGACAAGCAGAGAAGGACTCATTCCCAGCCTCTGATCTAATCCAACAGCTGGAGATAAAGAAGGACGAGCTGTCCAGGAAGATGCGTCACATTGAGGAGATATGTAACATGACGGAGCCACTGAGTGTCCTACAGGAATCAGACACAGGTGACTTGTATGATATAGAGGATGGAGATAATAAGGACAAAGAGAGACGTGATAAACTCCTTCATGGTGGACGGGATCTGGATGTGGCTGAGATCTCACACACGTTATATACAGGTTTATCTGACATCATAAAGGGGGTATACGGAGGGAACTATATACTGAAACCCGCAGATATATTATTGGATGTAAAAACAGCTCATAATTATCTTCATATATCAGATGACAGGAAGACGGCACGCAGGGTGGAGAGAAACCAGAATCGCCCCAATACACCACACAGATTCCAGGGAGTGACAGAAAGCAATGTAATGATACCTCAGGTAATGAGTAGTCAGAGTTTCCCCTCAGGGCGACATTACTGGGATGTGGATGTTGGGGGATCATCATACTGGAGTGTTGGGGTGTTACTCCGGTATAACCAGGGCACGCAGCTTTTCAGAGCTTGGAAATAATAATGTGTCCTGGTGCCTGACGAGGAATTCCGATGAGTTATCAGTAAAATATAACAATAAATCCGTCACTTTATCTGGTAATTTCCTGATAACCAGAGTCAGGATATATCTGGATTATGAGGCCGGGCAGATCTCTTTTTATGAGTTGGGTGTCCCCATCCGACACCTCCACACTTTTACCCAAACCTTCACACAGCCCCTCCATGCTGCGTTATATGTAGGTGAAGGTTGTGTAAAGATATGTAGAGGGAATCAGGAGATGTGATATGTCTTTTCTGCGTGGTTACGGTAACAGTATCATGTATATAGACAGAATTATTCTGAGCTCTCATGCGATTTTTCTTTAACTTACTCACTGCTTTTCCTAGAAACTTGCACAGCGCTGGAGATTCAATGACTGACAACCCCTGCAGTGTTTTAGCATTAGTGCTCCCTCCCTGGTGGGATAAATGCAATGTATTTTTTGTGCTAATAAGGGGATGAGTACAGGAGGGATGATTATTATAGGCAGACCATTACAATCACAGCATACTGCCACCAGTAACACAGACGTCACTTATCTATATCTACAGAACAGAAGTAAATAAGAATCTCCAATAACACCCGATGTAATGATTTCAGGATATAGAGCTGACCTAGAAGATTGTTCTGTATGTTATCATCAACCTAAACCTGTTATTTCTCCATTCAGGACAAACTAACAGGTTCTCTTATATCTCGCCTCCTCTGCTACTAACACCTACTTTCCCCGTGGTACTCTGCCACACTGTTCACCAGCCATGGCCCATGGAAATCTCAGAGCTTGGTGTAGCATGCACACCTGAGAATTTTTTTAAGTGCCCAAGACGGATATTTTTAGAGGAGGGTGATTGATGGTTGATGAAGGTCGGTTAATAAAGATGAGGGTGTTGGTGATGACCAATGAAGGTTGGTGGATGATGAAGGGGGAGATGGTGGTGACCAGGGAATGTGGGTGGATGATGAAGGGGGAGATGGTGGTGACCAGGGAATGTGGGTGGATGATGAAGGGGGAGATGGTGGTGACCAGGGAGTGTGGCTGGATGATGAAGGGGGAGATGGTGGTGACCAGGGAATGTGGCTGGATGATGAAGGGGGAGATGGTGGTGACCAGGGAATGTGGGTGGATGATGAAGGAGGAGATGGTGGTGACCAGGGAATGTGGCTGGATGATGAAGGGGGAGATGATGGTGACCAGGGAATGTGGGTGGATGATGAAGGGGGAGATGGTGGTGACCAGGGAATGCGGCTGGATGATGAAGGGGGAGATGATGGTGACCAGGGAATGTGGCTGGATGATGAAGGGGGAGATGATGGTGACCAGGGAATGTGGCTGGATGATGAAGGGGCTGTGATGACCAATGAAGGTTGATGGGTGATGAAAAAGGGGATGAAGATGCAGCACTCATCTGTTCCTCTGTTGCAGTTGCATTCATTTTGTTTTTACATTCTCTGCCCCTCGGCTGATACGGGGAATACCAGGATATGTATTTGGGTGACGGTAGGGAACAGCCCTTTAGGAATCCCTGCCTCCGTTCTCCTCGTAAGGTGTCAGTATCGGGAATATCTGGGACAGCCGGAGAGGAGTGACAGGTCAGAGGTCAGCTGGTAATCCACATTACAAGCCGGCGTTTCCAGTCCAGAATGCAGCCAGTTCCCAGGTATATACTTGTCCTGTCACATGGGGGTGGGAGACGGTCTCCAGCTCTGTGTAGCTCAGCAATGAAGCAATATAGACCTCACACAGCGCATTATATTGGGGGAAGTAGCAAAGGTGGCTGTGCATAAAGAGAACCTGTTACTTCAAGTATCAATATTCCAATATATCTCTATTATCAATGTTCTGTTACAATGTATCATTATCATACAATCTCTGCTTTCCTGTATCACTATACTATGTACCAATGTTATCATCTATTCTCTTACAATGTATCATCGCTATGCACAATGATTCCTCCGCTGTATCACTCTTCTAACCCATCACTTCTAATAGAGAGAGATCCCAATGTATCCCTAATATTAGACCTAATCTAATGAGTCACAGATACAAATATAAAGGCATTCTGATGTACCAATGTTATCACGCCTCTAATACATTCCGAGAAGAGGGGAGATTTCAGAGCAATTACTGATTTTATGTTTCCATCATTAGCACAATATGTCTCCAAATCTTCTAAATTACTCAAAATAAAAAAATATATATACTCATGTGGTTTTACAAAGTGTTTGTTTTTTTATTTCCTTTTTATTGGTGTATTTTATTGTTTTTTATGTTCCTTACGCAGAAAGAAAACTAATATTGAAAAAAGGAATTTATTACATGGGAGGTGACAGTGGATTGTAGTACAGTGCTGTGTCAGGGTGTGCAGGGTGGGGATTGTAGTACAGTGCTGTATCAGTGTGTGCAGGGTGGGGGGTTGTAGTACAGTGCTGTATCAGGGTGTGCAGGGTGGGGATTGTAGTTCAGTGCTGTATCAGTGTGTGCAGGGTACTTTTTTGTGGCATTGGGTCACATCCTAAAATTCCTACCCGACCTGAAGGCTCTGATATGAATTTGGGGGGGACCCCCGCTTTTTTTAATCATATAATAATATAACTGTATAGACATCGGAGGGGGCGGAGCTATCATATAATAATATAACTGTATAGACATCGGAGGGGGCGGAGCTATCATATAATAATATAACTGTATAGACATCGGGAGGGGGGCGGAGCTATCATATAATAATATAACTGTATAGACATAGGAGGGTGGAGCTATCATATAATAATATAACTGTATAGACATCGGAGGGGGCGGAGCTATCATATAATATCGCCACTGGGCGGAGATATCATATAATAATATAACTGTACAGACATTGGATGGGACAACAGATTCCAGGGAGTGACAGGAAGCAATGTAATGATACCTCAGGTGATGAGTAGTCAGAGTTTCCCCTCAGGGCGACATTACTGGGATGTGGATGTTGGGGGTCATCATACTGGAGTGTTGGGGTGTTACTCCGGTATAACCCGAGCAGACATCTATTCAGAGCTTGGAAATAATAATGTGTCCTGGTGCCTGACGAGGAATTCCGATGAGTTATCAGTAAAATATAACAATAAATCCGTCACTTTATCTGGTAATGTCAGGATACCGTGCACAGGGGTCCCCACACCGCATGCAGGTATCTATACGGGAGGACCAAATACGTGACCACACCAGACAATACTTATGAACTTATAGTTTTATAGACACTCCAAAATCATATAAACACAAGAAACCCCCCAACACCCGCCAGTAACATGAAATAGCCAAACTAAATACAAACAGCAAAATCACACACGGACGATCACGGGGAAGGTGATCCTGGGAGCCACAGATAAGGAGACCTCATGATTCAGGTATGGCGACAATACTGAGGCACCAGCCTCACTATGAGGAGGGGCTAAATACCCTCCCAGGTAGCACCAGGTAGAGACTGATTGCCGACAGCTGGGGGACACCTGCAGGTGAGCACCGGAATTGCAGGACCTGGTTTCAGCGCCACCTGGAGGTGATCTGGTCCCCGACAAGTAATTTCCTGATAACCAGAGTCAGGATATATCTGGATTATGAGGCCGGGCAGATCTCTTTTTATGAGTTGGGTGTCCCCATCCGACACCTCCACACTACTACCCAAACCTTCACACAGCCCCTCCATGCTGCGTTATATGTAGGTGAAGGTTGTGTAGTGGGAATCAGGAGATGTGATATGTCTGCCCGGTAGGGTTGCCACCTTTTCTTCAAGCGAAACCCAAACACTCTAGTAGCCCCTATCTTAATTTTGGTTGCCCCTGTCTGCCTAACATCTTGTGTCCGGGTTTCTGCTGCCATGAAACCTGGACACAGCATTCAAAACCAGAACTGTCCGAGGGAATCCTGGACAGGTGGCAACCCTACTGCCCGGAGACCGGTGGGCCGAGACTTCCTCAGGGTCACCTATAATTCACACATCTGTAAATCATCTCCTACTGGCAGATACTGTGCTCAACAACATGCCAGAGTTTAGACTACAGCTCCCAGCATGCCTCAGAACATGGCTGCACGGGTCATATCACGCAGTACAACATGGTTTTGCTTCATTTGTAAATAAATATATAGATAAGGTGACTGTTACATAATCCGTATTATAATTTGCTGTTATTGGTGATGATGGTAACAGTATCATGTGCAGTACACAGACAGAATTATTCAGGGTTATGATACGATATCTCTCTAACTTGCCCACTATCGGGGGAGCTCCTTGAAGCGCTCTGAGTTGCGGCCGATCTTGCCCTCGTACCAGCCGCTGGCCTCCAGGGTCTTCTCGGGCACATTGGGGCTGAACTTCTTGTAGGAGGGCCGGGTGAGCTTGGCAGAACTTCGCCTCCTGCCCACCACCATGCCCGCCCCGCAGCCACGCATTGCCAAGCTAAGGAGCAGCAAGGCACCACAGAGCAGCAGCAAGATCGAGAGCAGCTGCATGGAGCATCCGGGCTCCCTGGGGCTGCGGATCACGGGAGCTTTATCTGCCATCAGCACGCCGCCGGCCATGTGAGCAATGGTGTGATATGGGTGTGCCCAGGCACACACGGCACACCCTGTGCACACGCCTATGTCTTTATCCCTGTGCCAGGAAGCAACATAGAGCTCACACCGTGCTTTATATCAGGGGATCCAGTGACTGAATGGGGCAGGGTAGCGTGGGAAAGGACAATATCAGTAGCAGAGGAGGTTGAGCATGAAGAGAACCTGTCACTTTGTCTTGATTGTAGCACTTCAATTATCATTGTTTTAATATTTCGCATTCTATTACATTGCATAATTGTTATAATCTATACTTCGCTGTATCATTATTCTAATGTGTCACTGGTATAAACTATTCTCTTACAATGTATCAGCCAAAACATATAAAGAAATAAGATTTTTTGGGCTTCTTGTCAGAAACATTTGGAAGAAGACAGTTAATTCAGAGCGTCTACAAATTAATTACCAATATACACAAATATGTTTATCTATGGAGTGTGACTTAAAGCAAATGTCGGTTTGTTGGGCTTCCACGGCAGTGTCATTACACGCTGCCCGGCTTCCTGATTGGCCGGGAAGACGGCTCCATGCTCCCTTGTCTCTTGTGATGAGGGAGCATGGGGCCGGTGTCATTTTGGTGTCCCCCCCCCCCCCGAAAAGTTGGCCATTCTGTCATCGACCAAGCGCCCAACAGTTTCGGGAGAGAGGAGGGGACCCGGCGGCATACCTTATCCCGCCGGGTGACTGTCATCTCCTCTCTCTGCCAGGGTCCATCACCAAGATGGCCGCTAGCAGGTATCAATAAGATTACCGCTCATGCTCGGTGACGTCCGGGTGACACCCGGCCTCGGGACGCCCCTGGAGGTGGTAGACTTGGAATGGAAGGTGGCCGAGCTGTGAATGGGAGGTGGTGGAACCAGGAATAGGAAATAGTGGAACTGGGAATGGGAGGTGGCGGAGCAAAGAATGGGAGGTAACAATGTTGGTTGCGTTTTCAGCTGCCCACTTCATGTGCCATCGTGGACATCTTCCCGCCCCTCCTTAAATGCCATTCTAAAACACGTGATTCCTTCATGGAATACTCACCATCAGCCGGTTGTAACAGAGCTAAAGTCTCACTCGCACTTTTGACAATTTTCACACAAATTTTGATGTTAATCCGCCGCTCCAGATTCCTGTCACTCATT